AAACCGTTATTTCTATGCCATTTTCAGTGATTGGAATTTAAATGAATTTGAGACTCAATTGCTGTATTTGACTAATCATTGTTCAATATTGGAACCTCGGAACCGTTTAAAATATTACATATAATCATAGAGTATTTTTATAAGTTCACGTTTTCATCATCATCACCAACAACAGTAGGGTAAGGAGCAGTTCCACTACTAAACCAGTGCTGCAGCAGTGGTGGTGTGTTCGCTTTGATCTTCAGGTTTTATGGAAGACTGGGGATTGCAGTTATGTCACTAATTTGGATTTGAAGATTCCGTCAATTTAGTTTAGGACATTTATACGCGCACTGGAATCAACAGTTGAAAGGATAAAAAGAACAGTTGTCATGTGTTTCAAGGAAATAAGTAAAATAAAGTAAATGTAGTTCTGAAAAATACATTGAATTAGTTCGCTATCTCTCATACTTTGTCCAGTATCGGATGGCGGACTGTGGAAGGTCAACGAGTCACTAGTTCAGCTAGAGACAGTGTACCGAATGCGATCGATTTTCTCAATGAATCAATCGGTAAATATTTTAATTGAATCGATTGTACGGCGATGAGTGAAGACGTTGATTAATTATTTTGTTTTCTACGTTTATTTTAAAATAGCTAATAGTAGGTACTTAAGTGTGTGACCTACGTACGATGTACAATTGGAAATATTCAGTCGGTATTCTTTTGAGAAATTCTTTTATTTATTTACAATATAGGTTAGCTATACGAGAATCTGTTATTTAATTGTTCAGCACTGATTTTTTTAATGTCATGGTAATATTAATTTGATGTCAAGGAGAATTATAAACTACCGTTAAGTTATGAGAACGAAACAATAAAATGATTCAGTTATTTGTAAATTGAAGTCAATATACGTTTTTGTTCGATATAGCTAATTCAGTTAATACTTTTACGTCTTCAAATTCTCAATAAACTCACTTTTAAATAAGTTTGTCTGAGGTGAAAAATATTAAATAACTGTCGCAATTACGTAGTTCCATATTACATTACAAGATATTTGAATAGAAACTAGCAAACATTTCCTTGCCAAAACGCCATTATAGATTTAAAAATTTGCATTACTACCGTGAAATTTGAAATCGTGCCTGGTGTATGGCGATAGGCTCACCAAATAGTACAAATTAAAACCGAATCGATCAGTTCGCACGTTCCCGCTGCAAGATATTTAAAAAGTTTCATAAAGCTCAGTGTTGCAAGCGTTATATTTATATTTATTTTTAGACGTCGCCGGATGCTGACGGCTAAAATTAGTTTAAATAGGAATGTGTGTTAGTGAGTCTGTTGGTCTACAGGCGATTATATTAATATTGTCGCTTTTAACACGATTAAAATATTACTGACTCGGTGGTTAAATGTCGCAACAGGTTTTGGGTTCGATTCTTGACTCGAACATCGTTTATAAAATCCTTTTCAATTAATCAATTAGATTGTCCAAAATCATAACCAGTATTTGAATAGTAAAATAATAATTATGGTAGTATCGTTGGAAAATTGGCGAAGTTACTGCAATTAGTTATTATCTGACTGAAGTATTGAGAAAATTACAGACAGGAAAAAGCAATCAAATGCAATTTTGGCACTGACTATACAGACTATACTATACAGTATAAGTTTCGTTAGAGCATTAAATTGGTTACTAAGCATTGAACAGGCTTCAATTAAAGCAACAAATTAAAAGAATAGCTAATCAATGTAATGCTATTTAGTACTTTAGCTTAATTAGACACAGCAACCTGCTGCTCACCGTGCAATCATTTCAATCGACATTCCCTTGCTCGTTTCATAGCTATACCAAATATACTATTGGTGTAAATGGTGTTTTTGTACACAAAGCTATGGTTTTACTTAAAGATAGAATTCTGTATTCTTTAAGGCAACAATTGTTGACATTAAATTATATAATAAATAAATAAAATAAAAATAAAAAAGCCTTATATTTCTTACTAGTTTACAAAGAATTGAAAAATAAAAAGATTGGTTTTACGTAATAAGATTTCCTTTGCTTTACGTCCTACTCAGTTAACGTTGCTTGTAGTAAGAACCCCTCGCGTTATACGAAGGTGAAGGCCTCCTCTAGTGCTTTCCATTTGTCTCTGTTCTTGGCGATATCTATCCAATGTTTGCCAGCCACTTGGATTATGTCGTCTGTCCACCGCGCGTATGGTCTACCTCTTTTTCTCGTGCCCCCTGGGCCTGGCCAAGATGTTAGGAGGGAAGTCCACCGGTTATCTGCATACCTAGCTATGTGGCCAGCCCAACGCCATTTTAGTTTCATCGAGTGTCCTAACGCGTCGGTGATCTTGGTTTTTTCCCTTATGGTTTTGTGAGATATCTTTTGAATCCTTCTGATGTTTAGGATGCTTCTCTCCATGCTTCTTTGGCATGATCTGACTTTCGTTTTTATTTTGTGTGTGAACAACCAGGTTTGGCACGCGTATGTTAGAGAAGGGAGTATGCAGCTGTCCATAACTTTTTGTTTTATTGTTATATGGAAGTTGCTTTTCATGACCTCCTTAAGACTCCAGAACTTTTTCCACGCGTTTAAAATTCTTCTTTCTATTTCTTGTTCGTTTCTTTGTGCGTGGAAAGATATCTGTTTGCCCAGGTAGATGTATGTGTCAGCATATTCCAGTTGTTCACCTTCTAGATAGATTGGGCTCTTTATGTTGTTCGTCATTATGCTCGTTTTGTTTCGGTTTATTTCAAGGCCGGCTAGTCTGCTTGCTGAGT